AGAAAGGATTAAATGTTGTTTTTAAGCTTCTTGGAGAAATGCATTAGACTACAGAAAGTTTATGTGTCACATTACTTACTACTGACATCTGTTAACACTGAACAGGGCCACTGATTAGTATAATTAATTAATTAATATTTATATGATAGTGTTCCTATCAGGATTAGGACTTGTTATACTGCATGATTTATTAACACACAAAGACAAGATCCCTAGCTAGACAAGTATATAGTCTAAGAACCAGACCAAGCTTTGGAGAATATACCAGAGAATTAAAAAAAAAAAATCATAGCATTGTAGGGCTAGAAGGAAATCTAGTCCATCTCTCTGCAATGAGGTAGGACCAAGAACACCTAGACCACTGGTTCTCAGCTCACGGGCCAATCAGCACATAGCTGCAGCCCATGTGATATCCTCAGGGCCATACAGGGAGTATATATACATTGTGTGGATGTGGGCCCACATAAGACACAAGAGAACTACATATGCAGCCCACAATGGTAGATAGGTTGTGAACATGGCGGAAAGGGATCTAGGGGTCATAGTGGACCACAAGTTGAATATGAGTCAACAGTGTGATGCTGTTGCAAAAAAAGCAAATATGATTCTAGGTTGTATCAACAGGTGTGTTGTAAGCAAAACTCGTGAAGTCATTCTGCTGCTCTACTCTGCACTAGTTAGGCCTCAGCTGGAGTACTGTGTCCAGTTCTGGGCGCCACATTTCAAGAAAGATGTGGAGAAATTGGAAAGGGTACAGAGAAGAGCGACAAGAATGATTAAAGGTCTAGAGAACATGACCTATGAAGCCAGGCTTCATGAAATGGGCTTGTTTAGTTTGGAAAAAAGAAGATTAAGGGGGGACATGATAGCGGTTTTCAAATATCTAAAAGGGTGTCACAAGGAGGAAGGAGAAAATTTGTTCCTCTTGGTTTCTGAGGACAGGCCAAGGAGTAATGGGCTTAAAGTGCAGCAGGGGAGGTTTAGATTGGACATTAGGAAAAAATTCCTAACTGTCAGGGTGGTCAAATATTGGAATAAATTGCCAAGGGAGGTGGTGGAATCTCCCTCTCTGGAGATATTTAAGAACAGGTTAGATAGACATCTGTCAGGGATGGTGTAGGTGGAGCTTGGTCCTGCCTTGAGGGCGGGGGGCTGGACTCGATGACCTCTTGAGGTCCCTTCCAGTCCTATGATTCTAACCACTGATTTAGACTATCCCTGACAGGCGTTTATTTAACCTGTTCTTAAAAATCTCTAATGGCAGCAGTTCTACAACCTGCCTTCAAATTCAATTCCAGCGCTTAACAACCCTTACAGTTAAAAAGATTTTTCTAATACCTAACCTACATCTCCCCTGATGCAAATTAAGCCCTCTTTTCCTACCTTCTGTGAACATGGAGAACAATTAGTTACCATCCAAAATTCTTAACTCGTCTTTTTTTCTGAAGACCATCCATGCCCAGGTTTTGAAACCTTTTCTCATAGGTCAGGTTTTCTAAAACTATCATTTCTGTAGCTTTCCTCTGGACTCTCTCCTGTTAATCTACATCCTCTTGAAGTGTGGTGCCCAAAACTGGATACAGTACTCCAGAAAAGTCCTTGCAGTAATGAGCAGAGCAGGACTATGGTTTTCTGTGTCTTACATTGGACACTCCAACAAATACACTTCAGAATGATACTAGCTTTTTTCAGAGCTGCATCATATTGCTGGCTCATATTCAATTTGTGATCCACTATCACTGCATTGAAGGAGTCTGATGCATGGGCCTGGTGCTTGAACCAAAGTAAGCAAGAGCAGGAGTGACTGGAGGAGAGCTGTCGGCAACTGGCGCCCTAGGCGGAATGCGCGATCGGCCCCCCCGCCTACATAGCCCTCAATGGCGTGACATCATCATTGGGCGTCGCGTTAAATGCGGTGCCCTAGGCAACTGCCAAGGTTACCTACATCCACGGGCCGCCCCTGAGCAAGAGTTATACTGTGAGTAATAGACAGGCCGTGTCAAAAGCAAATGTTTGCTTGCAAGTCAGTGTCTCTCAGCACTAGAACAGCTAGCACAGATGGAAGCACAGGAAGTATGTAACTACATTCCATCAGGAGAGCAGAAAGGCCAACCAGCTAAAATAGTTTAAAACGACAAGTGTGAAAGCATAACACCGGGCAGCGAATGCTTTGGAGGAAAGTACAAGGGAAGGTATCAACCGTGTCATTAATTCATAAGAGGATATGTACGGTGTGTTTAATAAATTGTTCATTTCTATCTATAAATGTTGGGGTACCTCACTTAACTCTTTGGCCGACCTAGGGGCAATAGTAAAATCCATACGATTCATTAAGCTGTGTTCATTGTCCTGGGTACAAATTCTTAGGGGCTCAAAGGCCATCTGGTTACCGACAACTATTAATGTAGTTCGTTCAAAAATAAACCTGACTCAGGTGCCTTCCTATCTTTTCTGAGTCTGTGGTCTTTAAGGGCTCTCATGAAGTCTATTATGCTAGCTACCTGCACAGTGCTGGCACCATATACTGAGGAAGCATATGAAAACGCACGCAGCCGAACATTAATCATCACTGTCGAAGCAGAAGATCTTTGAGAATGCCACACCAGTGAATCCTGGATTTACCGTATCGCTGTCCTGAACTACTACAATCACCACCAGGCACTCCAATGCCTCGTCAGTCATTTCCCAGTTTGGAGCTGTGCACTGGCTTTTTCCGTCCTAAGTACAGTACTTTGCACTTGGGTTTCCTGAATTTCACCGTGTTCATTTCAGTCTAATTCCCAGCTTGGTGTCTTCTGCAAATTTTATGAGTATACTCTCCATTTCATTCTCCAAGTCATAAATGGAAATAAACAGGCCTCTCCTGTCTCACCTCTATGCCATGGTTCCAAGAGGAAATTTCAATCAATGGACAGTAAAACTTAAAAAACGGGGGAAAAAAAGAACTGCCATTAAGGTTGAAATCTTGGCACCACTCGAGCTGATGAGAATTTTACTACTGATTTTAATGTGGTCAGGATTTTTGCCTATGACTAACATTGATCGGTATGATCCAGCTTTAGCCATAAGAAAACCAAACAGTGGAAATAAAGGAAAGGTGCTAAGACTGACTTTTACTCCATCTGTAAAAAAAGAAGGACAATGAATGAAGGCAAAACCCAAAAGAATTGCACGTTTACGTCACAAGCAACACATTTTATTCTCCCAGACCTTCATATCAAACAGGCCTTTTAAAATATACTGACATACTGACAATGCCAGTGCAGCATGAGCGAACGTTTCCGTAACTACCCCTGATTTACGTTGCTCATCACTCCTTTCTCTAAACTGCGTCATCTTTAGTTTATTGTTCTTGCAGTCACTGAATAAGTAAAAAGGTAATTTGGGCGAATTAGACTAATTTTAAACAGCTTCACTTGCACTTACAATATTATTGCTAAATGCCAATCAAAGAAACAAAGAGCAGCGATGGGAAAGCACAGCCCTGTGGCTAACCAGAAATGTGCAGATAACTAGCTTCTTCAGAATAAGCCTATGATTCATAGATCCTGACTGTTTTTCTCTGGGAGGCAACCCGCCCATTTGTCTTTTCGGTACTTCGGAATATTACATGTTTTGGTTTGTGGTAATACAGGAGATGAAAACCACCCTGCTGTTTGCATTTAGATGATCTTGCAACGATAGCCATTGTGGCTTGCCAGGAGCTAGGAGGACTCTTAGGGTACGTCTATAAGGAAATTGGAGACGGGATTGCAGCCCAGGTAGCATGGCTGAAAAGAGTGGCGTAGATACTGTGGCATGGCACCAGGAGTGGGCTAGCAATATGCATAAATATGCAGGCATCTGCGCAGGCATGCGAGCTGTGCCTTCATGCCTATTTTAGCTAGATTGAAGGTAGCGTGACTATTTCTACCCGAGCGACAACCACACTTTTGATAATTGGTAGACCAGTCTAATGTTCCCTCTAATCTTTTCTAGCCACGAGTGGATTCTTTGTCTGGAAATGGATGACAGGGGAGGGACCACGTGAGTATTACCTGTTGTGTTCCCTTCCTCTGGAGCATCTGCTATTGGCCAGACAGGATACCAGGCTAGATGGACCATTGGTCTGACTCAGTATGGCTGTTCATATGAGTGGATTTTTTCCATCTACGTGAGGAATACATTTTAACATGCACCGAGGCATGTGTGAATGTGCATCACCAGTAGAAACAAAAAAAACCTATCTTTGGGTGCTCTGCTAATCAGCTGGGCGGCACTGGAATCTCTCCTGAGCATACAGCTGACAGGGAACACCAGATGAGTCCATTCATATGCCATTCCATCCGTTACAGACTGGTCCTCATTGAAGCACCATCATGATTTGTTTCAGCTTTCCCTTTTGGGAATCCCCAATGCCCTGTGACTAACTTCATCCCTTTTGTTTCCCATGAACCCAATGCTCCCTTTGTGCCAGTTGCTGTCACAGTTCAAAGGGCTGCCAGCAGAGGTCCAATTCTATTTTCTTTTCATTCTTCCTGGCATGGAGAGGGGAAGGTCTCCACTTCCTCCTCTCTCTATCCTGGGTCTTAGGAAAAGGATGGCTGACGACAGATTTCTCTGTCCACACCACAGCACACAGAGCTCACGTTGATGGAGCTCAGCAATATATTAAGCAGTACGATATTTCTGTTGGTGACCTACTTCAAAAACTGAAACCCACAGACTGGGAACCATTATTAGCTATTAGGCAGTTGTGTAGGGACTCT